TGTCATTGTCATTGTCATTGTCATTGTCATTGTCATTGTCATTGTCATTGTTATTTCCATTGACATCTTCATTACCATTGTCATTATAATTTCTATTTTCATTGATATTGTCATTGTCATTGTTACCAGTCATTACTAATATTATCATCTCTTTCAGTTGAGTTATTACTATTCTCATAATCATTACCACTATCAGTGTGTTAATCACTAATTATCATTATGCTCATTGTCATATGGCCTTCGAGTAATCCTAATTCTAGTAATATGGTAATAAAAGTTATTCAAGACACTTAATTTCTCTGTATTCTTAAGGTATTTCGGCACTTCTGTCAAGACAATCTGCTACCTGGCTTCAATTAAAAATGTATACCTTTAATTTGTACCGTTTCGCAACTTTGGTCCAAGCTGGTTCTGTGTCCTCCCTTCAAACACCAACTCCAACTGGTTTGCATAAAATATACGACATGCTAATAATCAGCAGCATTTGCATCTGTATCTTCATAAATACGTTTGCTGCCTTAACGAAATTAATGAACTTTCGCATAATACAATATGTTAATCAAGACGTCCACAGCTCGTTTCATCCCGCAAAACAATGAAACACATTTCCAGCTGTTTGTGCTGGGAGTGTTTTCTCTGGGAAACTCGCCTTATTTTTGTAGCGCACAATAAAAGTCGCACATTAATTTCTGATGATATGCCAAGTTGTGGCTTAAGACGATACTAGTTTTCGCATTAGACGCATCTAATGAGTTTCTGTCTGTGCGCCAGTGCTGGCGCTACTTACTTGATCTTCTCCCATATTTCCTCGCCGAAATGCTTGAGTACCAGCAGCTCCAGGGCGTAGTTAACAAAGCCATACTGCAAATAGAAATAATAATATCATATTATTATGGGACAGTTACATGATAATGCCCAATAAATTTGTATATATACAGATACATATACATTTACATACTTGAATTGTTGGTATTTTATCTGGATTTCATTTATCTAAATGCCGAAATTTAACTGGCGACCATTCAGAAATTACAGAAACATTTTTATGGCCACTCAAAATGAAATCATAAAAGTGCCAGCTAAATTGAATGCTGCCAACATTTTAATTACATTCGCAGGCGAAATAAAGTGATAATAAAATGGACCTCAGCTAAGGATGCACGGCTAAAAAAAAACACTGAAAAATGAATATATAAATAAAACAACAAATTCAAAGAGAGAGAAACGCGTTCAGGCTTATTTTTTGGGGCCTGCGAAATGTTGTTAAAAATGTGAAATCAATAAGGATTGCGCATTTCATTTCTTTTAAATGTATCCGACGAGCAATCAATTTGATTTGTTATGCGAAATCAAGTCGCACACGGAGCGAGGGCGAGTGAAACACTCTAACGCTCTTACATGCCCATAGAGCATTGCAAGATGGCGCACAATCAATCGCTTCCGCCGGAAGTGCTGCAAAGCAAGCCAGGAAAATACTTGAAATATATTTACATACATTACGCATACGTCTAGTGGGCCATAGGAGCTTCTGCTGCTGCTGCTGTTTGTTAACTGCCTGATGAAGATATATCTAACCGATATTTGATGTTTATTGCCTTTGTTGTGCATATATTGAAATGTTCCAGCATTAACGCAAACAGCAACAACAACATATCCAAACAAAAACCAACAACTAGAGCCAAGCAATTGCACGCGGATGCCAGTTTGACGTAATTTAAAAATAGAATGGAAAAGCAGGCGAAGAAATGCGAAAATCGCTATCATTATATGAGGAACGCTGCTGATGTGGATCCTTCTGAGTGTCTCTCTGTATGCGTGTGTTTGCATGTGTGTGTGTGTGTGCGTAACATGTCAACATGTGAAGTTTGTTTGCCTTGTCATTGAGTTGATATTCTTGCCAAGTTGAGTTTTATCATTGTCCTTGGCATCTAATTTGTTCCACCTAAGGCCTTTAAGAGACGTTTTTGGTTTTGAATGTTTGATTTATGTCATAAAATCAGCACACGTCGGCTTTTCTGCGTATTATGTATATTAAATAACATTTCAAGTTTATTTATACTGTGGTCTATATGCATATATGCACACGTATTTGCGATGCACATATATATACGTTTATATATTAATTCATTTTTTTTTCCTTAATTGAATTGACGTTTGGCACAAATTCATGAGGTAGTGCTTCAATACTCTAGGTTATATATAACTAAAAATATTTTTTGTGTACTTTATTTTTATTTATTTTAGCAAAATTTCATCTAAAATACAATATTCAATTTTCTTAATCAAAATATGATTGGGATAATAATATTATATTTTCTGATTAATATATCAAATTGAGATTTGCATGTACAGATACATATACATATTTTATTTTAGCTAAATATTTTCTCTATTTTGCCATTCTGTTTATATGCATAGTAATCCATCAATTCTATATTCAATATTCTACATCAATCATTTATGAATCCTCTCAACTATCTAAATATTTTGCCTCCTTCCAAAAACTGCATTTGTTTATTCTGCTCTCTCTCTCTCTATGTTTTCTTTTTTTTGTCGATATTTTTTCCTTTGAAACATTTGGCACTTTTAGCTATGAAAATTTAATTTATCATTTAGCTGGGCCATCAATTAAATATTTCACTACATTGATGACACGCTATTTGAGTTAGTTCCCGGGTCTGTTCATGCATGAGCTCGATTTCGTTTCGAGTGCACTCTGAATACTCTAACTTACCATTTTGGCCGGCTGTTTGAGTTTCGTTTGGTTGGTTGAATTGCAAAGAGTTTTTGCTGGCGCTTTAATTCACTTGCACAAATTGCTGTTTATCATATGCGATGCATAACGCTTTGAATATATTTAATATTTATCGAGTTGAAATGGATTTCAGTTTAGCACTTTAATTATTATTTTTCCATGGGGAGCTAGAATTTATGTAATTTAATTGTTGACATATTTATAGTAAAAAATATTTCAGTTCAAGTTGAGCAAAGTTTTTGGCGAAGCTTTAAGGACTTCTGTGGGCCACTGAGATGACAACAGAAATTCCACAAAGGACATGAATATTTCATGAATTTAAACATTGAAATCGGCTTAACAATGTTTTCAGTTTTGCATTTCGTTTCGCTCGTTCCGTTTCGCTTCGTTTAAATTTTGTTGGCCTTTGGTTTTATTTATTTTCTGACCTGGCCTAGCCTGGTCTGGCTTGGCTGGTCTCGGCCGGGCCAGCGCCTTGAATATGTCAAGGGACCACCCCCCACCGTTCTTCATTGTGTTTTTTTGTTTCTTTCTTATGTTTTGTGAAAACGAAATGCTAATCAAATATGCCAATGAGTGCGAGTGAGCTCTTAAGGAGCTCCTAGCTGCTACATATATGCTTCGCCATTTGCTGGCGGCTTATTGCAGCTGTTATTGCATGGCAGCCTGTTTGTTGCATGCCACATGCAACACGTGCAACTGCCAAAGGCGCACACGAAGCCAGCCCAACTGGGTCACAACAAAGGCATGCGAGAAGCAGCTAAAATGGCAACAACAAGCGGCACAAAGGATGCAGAACGCTGTTTAATTACACACACAAACTCGCGCGCGCACACACACAGTTTAAATGGGCGTATGTGTGTGTGTGTGTGTGTGTGTATAGCAAGTCAAGCGTAGCACCAAAATTTATGCGCCACGCCAAGTGTGCGGCAATTAAGGCGTCACCCATTTCTAAGCCAGCAGCAACACTGCAAAATCCACACGTTGGGGCATGCAACTGGGTGAACGAGGGGCAGCGGAGTAAGTCCTTGCTGCATGCTTAGCTGTTTGCTAGGATATGCCCCGTTTTTGCCAAGTCAAATTTAAGACGAATGCCCTTTGGAGCGGCCGCAAAAGTTTAACAAGTTTTTTTTAAGGCTCAAGTTAAAATATCGATTTTTATCTTGCCCGCTCGCGCGCGTTTATGTGTGTGTGTGTGCCATTAGCGCGCTCGTTAAGGTGCATAGCAGGGATATTTATACACCGTTTATATATACTTATATTCTGTACTTATTTCAGCTTTATTATTGTTTGACTTTTGCTTTTCGGCCCGCGTCACATTTATCGCTTATCGCTTAGCGTTCGGCACAGTTGTTTGCGTTGAGCCACTTCTGCCAACTGATTTGGGCGTTTATTGCATATTAATCAGACGAGTTTAGCACGCTCCACACCTGGCTGCCAACTAAACAAGCAACCAGCCAGGCGCCAGACCCACTTCAGCTGCCTTCCAATTCAGCGAATTTTAATTACGTGAAACATTTGACATTTTGCGAAATAGGAGCTCGCCTGCCAAGTAGAGTGTGACAATGCCGTCTCGAGTGTATGTGGGAGCTGCCAACTCTTTGCCCGGGCCTAAGGAATGACAATGTCAGAAGGTGGTGGCCGGGTGTTCGGTTGGGCGATCAGGCATGCCAGGAAATGCCCTCGAAACGTTTTGTCAACCTAGCGGTGCACGCAAGTGTTAAACACGCGAATATTACTTAACTCTAATGATATTTTTGCTGCTTATTTGCGGCCAAATTGTCTGTCAATTTGGCACTAAACGTGCAGTAACTAAGTAAACGATGGCCCGCTCACTCAGCCAGAGCTCAATCCATAATGAGCCCACAGCCGAGGCGGCTTAGGTCGTGCTGTGCGGCCAGTTGTTCAATTGGGCAATTGTATGTTCAACTGGGCAAACATTTATCAAAACTAATGGACGTTTTACTATCCGTGCCAGCCCGAAAAGCGGCAACAGCAACACCAGCAACACCAACAACCACAACCACAATAACAACTCGCAACAACTGTCCACAAATTGCCGCGGGCACGCAAAGCCAAATGTCTAATAAACTTTGACATATTGAGGCAAATATTTCTATTCGTTTTGTTCCAACGCTTTGTCCACTTGTACTATTGTAATTTTTTTCTTATTCGTGGACACCGAAAAAACCAAAAAAAAAAAAAAAAATAAATAAATAAATACAAAAACCGTAAAACATAAATTATGACACGCCCCCTTGCTGCCGCCCTATCACTCGGTAGAGACAATAGCGACAGAAATATGCGGACCGAAATAAATTAGAGCCCTCAAAAGTATGCTTTAATTTTTGTTCAGGGAAGCGTTGCGCATACGCCGCTTTGACTCAGTCCTTTGGCGGGATTCTCACACATTTCTTATGTGCTTTTGTTGTTAATGTTGTTTTTGTGTTTTTGTTTTTATTATTTTGCGATTTGCTTGCGCCGCTGTATTTACTTTAATATATTCGTTCACTCCCGGCCTTTGTTTTATTTTTGGCTTGTGATTTATTTGTTTTGTATTTGAGATTTGACTTTCACTTCAGTTTCGCTAAACAACATCCTGACACACACTCACACACACACACACACGCACACACTCGGTCACTCACAACTCTCGCATTTGGGTTCTGGGCTCTGTGATAAGCGAAGCGCGCGCGAGCCTTCTTTGAATAACCGTTAGCTCAGGTTGTGCGAGCGCAATGCTTGAACAGTGTTAGCTTGAAGCAGCCATCGACGACTGAGCAGCCGCCGCTCGATGCTTGTTATATTAACGGACACCGCCACACAGCTGGCGCCAGGACACTTGTGTGCGCTTTTCCAACAGCCACTAACGCGCTGGCTGGTGTCAGCTCCTGTCGCCTGCCAGCCGCTAGTCAATGTGCCAGGCACACGCTCAGCTGTTTACGAACGAAAGCTGTCGAAAAGCTCGCTCTCACGAGCACTCTCTCTGTCTCTCTTTCGCTTTTCAGACTGTTGTGGCTACTGGCCAATAGATGGCTCTGCTTACATTCAAGTTTAATTGCTTTCGCATTTAGCATATTTGCATTATGAACTTTAGCTTAAAATCATTGATGGACTATAAATAAATCATATATATTATGGTTTAAAATTAAATCAATAATTTTCGTTTGGCACTCTTTCAATTAAGATTAACAAAGACACAGCTTAAGCCCAGGCGATGCTTCTAAATATAGTCCCTGTGCTAAATATATTTTCAGTACACTCACTTTGAGAACACACACACTCGCATTAGCGCTGCTTAATTGTAATCAAATTGATTATCTATCAAGGAGAGCAAATTTAGATACTGCATCACTGAGATTCCACACCGAACTCAGCTCCACGGAGACAGAGTATTTTGCCGTCATAATCGGAGCAGCTGCAACGTTTTTTATTTGTTTTAATTCAGCTTTTATTTAAGGCCACGCTGAAAGGCTGCAAGTGCAGCCGCAGAGACCACAACAAAAGTCAGCTGCGATGTCTGATAAATGTCGGCATAAGGCCAACGAAGGAGCTGCCGCTGGCAGGCTGACAATGCCGTTGACACTGATAGAATGGGCCTTGAATAGAGAAAGTGTAGCCAGGTATGGCTTGGGCATTAGCGCCCGCAGCAGACAGCAGTCTATTAAAATCAGAGCCAAATAGACGTAGACCACAAATAGAATACCCTAACCAGCTAACCAGCTTTGCCTTGAAATAGAATGGAAAGCACTGCAGCTGCTGCTCAGGCAGCAAAGTCAAATTAAGAGCTCTCGAGTTTGGCAAGTAAATGCAAAAGAATGTGAGCACTGTAGCTAGGATACCTCAGTAGATACCCTACAATTTTGATGGGAAAACCTTTTCAGTTTTTCTAATCAAGTGCTTGCCGCAAAGATGACAATCTGTCTGACATTTAATTAACAAACAAGAAGCGTAGTGAAGAAGTTGAGCTACGAACCGAACACACACACACACACAAAACCCACTGACAATAATGGTATTCAGAGTGTGTGCCCAGCACTTCGGTAGTTGCGCATAGAGACACAGGACAAGCGCAGCCAGGATAATCGCATCACACTTGAGTAAATAAGTTCCTGAAGTGGAACCAGCCAGGCAAGCAGCGCACATCCCACAGACCCCCCCAAAAAAAACCGAAAGGAAACTTTGTAGCCAGTCTCGATGCGCAGCCTAATGGCTGCCATCATCTCCGCCTCTCCCCTTGCACGGTGGAGTGACAGAGCGTGTGACAGAGACAGAGAGATATTGCATTTATGTAGGTGCAATTCGAGTCAATGGGAAGGGGAGAAACTGTTTATCTGATTGAGAGCAGCAGTGCACAGGTTGCGTTTCACTAAGCAGCTACTTGACCTCTTTGTATACATCATTTGTACACCATCGTCAATCAATCAATCAAGCAACTGCGCACACAATGGCGTTTAAACTTTAATAATTTGGTCATAACAATAGTAATTAAAGATTTGTTTAATTAGCATGTCAGAGCATATAATACGATTAACATGGAAATCGCATTTCAATTTTGCAGCTGCTGCTATATAAAGTCATAAATCAACAACTATTTTAAGCGGCAAATAGCTGCTTACATACCCACAGCTATTATTATTATTATCCGTTGCCAAATAAACAGCTTATGCGAATTGGGCAATACTTACATATATACTAAATAAGATAGTAAATATAAATATTATATATATATATATATATATATATATATATATATATATATATATATATATATATTATATATATATATATATATATATATATATATATATATATATATATACATTTTTGGCCCCAAAAAACTGAAAATAATATTAAATAATATTGAAAATAATATTTTAAATCTTCATAAATAATAAAAAAAAAAAATATGATAATGTCATAAATATTTTCATAAATCTTATACAATATATAAATAAACATTTTATTCTAAAGAAAAAAAAATTAAAATTCAAACGTTTATTAGAACAGTTTACTTAATTTTGACTTGCATCCGCCGAACTATGCTATGCATGAAAGCCGTTTTGTTCCATCGCAATTTCATCTGGGTTATTCCCATATATACCAAATATTTTCATATAAATTCTGTTAAAAGAATTATGCTTTAAATAATTACTTTATTTTACTCATTTTTCTTTACTTATTGCTATATTAATACCTGTTACTTTCTAATATTAATATTTGCCGCATTTCTGTGTGCACAAATGTATCATATGAATTTCTGCTCCAGGTCATCTTTGCTTCGATCATCGTCAGGAGAAATTCCACAAATAATTATCCATTTAATCAAACTATTATATTGAATTATGATAATTTATAGCACACTCAAGTGGAATTCTGACTTTTCCCGATTGTTATTTGATTTACTTTTAAGTTGCTTCTTAGCATAAAATATAGAGTGGAAAAACTCGATTTGAATTGGCAATCATTGGAGCTGAGCAAACATTTTATTTACTCTCATGGATGCACGTTATTCGCTTTGATGAAATTCTTTTGCGCTTCAGCACATTTATTGCATTTCGATGCTCACCTTTGCACTTTCATACTTCGTCAGCGCACAAATATTTGAATATTCTGCAATTTTTGCATTCCACCCGCCCAGACATATTGACTCAAGCATAAGAGAAATGTCCGACAGGACCTCAAACTGCAGTTGACCAGATGCAAAAGTTGTTGCAACTATGCAAATGGCCCAAGGCAAATCAAGATATGTTTATATGTATATGTATATATAATATGAACATTCATAACAACATTCGCATGTATCCTTAGTTGGGGTTCATTGAGGCTAAGCCAGTAACAAGCTCTAATAAGCATGACCCGAGGAATTATACATGTTCTTGAAGTTGGACAAGGATTATAAAGGGATCATAGTATGAGGAGCGCAATAGAACAATGCAAAAGATTTTATAGTTTAATCTTTGTACAATAACAAAGCAAAAGAAATTCAATTCTATAATTGGTTGCATTTCTCTATCTACATGAATTAATTGTGGATATAAGTCTTAATGCATTTACTGAAACAGATTCAATCCATATATTTGATTACAAGTTTCACAAATATTCCGCCTGGATAAGAAATTTTCTCCATGACTTGATACATGTATTTACATCATATTTAGCGACATCTTCTTATGAAAACTTGTCAAGCAACGGAAATGGGTTTCGGAATGGACCGGAACGAATCAGACACAGATGAATACATATGATGGTAGTGATACTTTGCATTTGTATTAAATATATTTAATTCAAGATGCTCAATTTAGCATTTATTGTTAACAAAGTTCTGCTGTGACTGTTTTTATAGGTTAAATAATCTTATAGTAGATCAATTCATGCTGGTTCCTCATTAAACATAGCTTCATCTGCTTTTCACGAACACTTGCTTAAATATTTTGGTCAATTTGCTGAGATAAGCTATAGAGCAGATGTTATTAACCTCTTAATCTTAAAAATAATCTTAACAAATGGACTTCCTCAAAAATTGACCTACAGATTTTTAATTATAGTATTTATTCACGCATCAGAAAAATTTGGATTGAACACTAACTGGAGTTCATTTATCTTTTATATCCCAACCAAATATAATCTATTTAAACAAGATTTCAGCAATCTTTTCGCAGATTCATCTGCCATGAATGGCACAACTAATTTGGCCTTCTCGTTGCCTTCCTTGTCGCTAGTGACAATATCACAGCATATTTCCGTTATAAGCAAAATCATGGTAGTTTATTTTCAAATACCAAAAGATAGCCTTCTGATAATTACCGTTGTCTATCATCCATTGCCAGTTGAGCAATGAAATGTGCCACCTTCAAAGTGCTCATAGTCGCGCTCTAATTCGGATTATGATCTAATATAGATTTCTGGTTTCTTTAGAGAAATATTACCCAAATTTTATTTATTGTATCGGTATAGTTATAAACGGTTCGATATTAGAAACTGTTCAAGATTAATGTGCGCGACGCGTGTGTTCTTGTTGATTTTAACAACTTGAGCCAGATGTTGGTCCATTAATTAAATTCGAGTGGCCTCAAGACAAATAAAAAGTCAACTAGTTGGCACACTTGACCGCCAATAAAAGCAAAAACGCAAATCCGAATAAAATTCGGCTCGAGCTGGAGCGCTGACAGCCCGAGCTCGAGAGGTTTGCGTATAAATGAAGAAGCTGTCGACAGGCCGAGGCGCTGCTGCTGCTCAGTATTCAATATAATATTGTAGAAATTATAGACAAACTCAATTGAATTGCTGAAATGGCGTGAAATGTGCCAGGTGAGGGAAGAGGGGCGAGAGGCGTGGAGACGCCCGCTCACCTCTCGGTTGATTGCTCTGACGTTGAGCAGCTACCGATCGAACTTGAACTTGAGTTTTTCTGCCAAGAGTCAGCAGCGAGTGAGGTCGCTACACACACATACACGCACATACATATACATATATAAAGTATTTATTTATTTAAATATTTATGAATGTATGTATTCATTTATGAATGAGCAGGTGAGTAATTACGTAATGCGGATAAGCGCATCTCGGCTACAAATTGATGACTTCGAATTGCTCAAGTCGTGATGCTATTCGAGCTCGAGCCAGACGCGACAGTCGAGCGTGGCGCTAGCTGGGCACAACAACACAACAGCGGCTTAAACAGCTTAAACAGCTTAAATACTTTGGCAGCTTAACGGGCTTAAATCATGTGTCGCCGTAATTAACCAGTTGGCGAAATGATTTGGCAGCTTTGCTTAATCTTGGCTGCTCTAGGGCCCAGTCTGGCGCATGTGCGTCTGGCACCCAGCACCACCGAGCGAAGTGTTCAACTCTTTCCACAGCAGCAATGGCAGCTTAGGAGCCACAGCAGCACAGTGAAACCTGCCCAGAGTGTGTTTTATATGAAGCTGCTGCCCGTGGCTCACTGTGAGCCAGAGGATTTCCAGCACAACTACAAAGTGTTGAGTGCGACTGGCGAGGTGACCTTCGAGCCACATCTGAATCATTTTGGACGCACCAGGGCTGGGGGGTGGGCGAGCATGCGGGATCTGTGCTTGGATGAGCAGGGCCTGCCCTGGCGGCGCCTGTGCAACGCAAGTGCTGAGTGGGCCACTCTCGGGAGTGTGAACTGTAGTGCCGGCAGCCAGCTGAGCCGACAGCTCAATCAGCTGCGCGAAGATGTCCAGAGTAGGAGCAGCACAGCCGTCGCCCTGAGCAAGCTACGGCATTTACTGACTGAGGCACGGGGTCAGCTCGCCCCGGTTGATGTCTACAGCACGGCGCAAATATTTGCAGAGCTGCTGGAGCAGCAGCAGCCGACGGGAGCGGTGAGCGCAGATCTCGTTGGCATTTGCCGGGAGATCATGTCTAGCGATGAGCAGGTGCTGCGGCTCTCAGCAGAGGTGAATGCGACCAACTCGCTGCTGAGCAAGTTCGAGGATTATATGGATGCACTGCCTCCGCAGCTGGTGCCGAGCGAGAGCTGTGGGAAGACAAGAGCTGAGGCGGACAAATCCACTGAGAAGGGCGTGCAAGCCGTTAACTATGCGCAGCTGGGCGTGCAGGCGCTGATGAGCAGCAATCTGAGCGTGTTCTATGTGAATCCGGAGTGTGAGAATATCACTGGCATAGCCATATATGCAGCAGGAGCTGCGGATCGAATGAGCGCTAGCAGTGGCTTCTGGTATCGCTTTCTCTATGCCAACGAGAGCCTGGAGCAGCTGAGAGCCGAGAGAGACCTGCAAACGGGAACCTACCTGCCAACGCAGCTGTGGGAGCAGCTCAGCCAAAGAGGCGCCTCGTATCTGGTACTCAAGGTCTACGCTCACGATGGACTCTTCGTGGAGAGGGCTCAGCAGCGCAGTCCGAAGCCACGCAGTCAAGTGCTGTCCATATCCATACCGGGTTTCGAGGGTAAGTCCAGCTAGCAAAGTCCAACTCAGCCATCGCTTGGCTAACAATCCTGCAATTTCTGTAGGAGCTCAGTTGCCTGCGCCGCTGCCCTTTCTGCTGCCACGTGTCGGAGTCTCCGGCAAGGACAGCCGTTGCGGCTATTGGAACTATGGGAGCTGGCTCAGCGATGGAGTGAGCACCTGCGGCGGTCATAACGAAGAGCCTAATGTGCTCTGCGAGGCGCAGCATCTGACGCAGTTCTCCTTTCTGATTGGCGGCAGCTTCACTCAGCACTCAGCGGAGGCATCGGATGTGCTGCTGGAGGCGGCACATGAGCAGCTGCTGGACCTGATCACCCAAGTGGGCTGCGGCCTCTCGCTGTTCGGATTGCTCTTCATCTTTTTGACTGCGGCGCTGGTTGAGAAATGGCGCAGTCAAGCATCCACCAAGGTGCTGCTCCATCTCTGCCTGGCCCTCGCCCTGCAGCTGCTGCTCTTCGGCTATCTGGGGGCAGAGCAACTGCATCTGAAGCAGAGCTGGAATCGCTGCCTGATATCGGGCGCTGCGCTGCAGTACTCTGTGCTCGTCATCTTCAGCTGGATGCTGATTATAGCCTTTCTGCAGTTTCAGCGTTACGTGACAGTGATAGGCGTGGCTCGGCCCAGTCACTACATACTCATCTCGGCCTTGGTTGCCTGGACGCTGCCACTGCTGCCCACATTCTTGGTCGTTCTGCTCGACGCCGACTCCTTTCAGCCGTCACAGCATCAGTTGAAAGGCAACGCGGCTCTGTGCTATCCCTCTGGCTATGGCCTGGCGCTGGGCGTCGTGCTGCCCATTGGCTTGGTAACCTTTGCCAACGCCTTCATGATGCTCTGCATCATTTATAGCATTCATCGTGCCCTCAATCCACGGCGCCAGCTAATTATACAGCAGCTGCGTTTGTCCGTCCTGCTGTTTTTTCTGCTGGGCCTCACCTGGATCTTTGGCCTGTGCAGCTATATGCGCCTGGGCATTATATTCTCCTATCTCTTTTGTCTCAGCGCCACGCTGCAAGGCTTTGTGCTCTTTGTTTATTTTGTGCTTTTGAATGCCTCAAATCGACACGCTTGGCTGAGTCTCATTTGTTCCAGGCAGATGAAAATAAATATGCCCAATGCGGAACGGCAGTCAATGTCCACTTCGTCCAGCAACACTTCCAGACGAACCCAATCCTCAGTGAAGTCCATTTGAATTTCGTTTAGCGGCAAACAACTTTATGTAAAGTTTGTCACAAGTATTTTATCTATAGGTTTAAGCATAATTGTTGAAGTGGAATAAAAAGCGGATAGTTAGAATAACTTTGTTCTGGTAACAGTGCAGCTCAATTCTATTACTAAATCAATAAAGACTATTTTCAGATATACTATACAATCATGTTCGTATGCTAGCTACTGCAGCAGACAGTCAGATTAAATACCTGTATATCAATATTTCTATTTCATTTCTAACCCGTAGCGACCTCACTCACGAGATTCCTAAATATTATACATATTAAATACCTATCAAAGCTTAAAATCTATTTAAGCTTAAAAACTCGCTTTAAGCTATTAATCATTTAGCCATGACACACAACCGACAACTAAAAGCTTAATAGACGCTTCGCCAGTTAAGACACCAACCACTTTACACAGTCCCTAAACGTTTTAGCAATGCATCAAACCGGTTTCCCAGTTTGACATGCACTGTACATTGGCTTACAAACCCAACCAAACTGTGTTTGACTTTTACACCGAACTGAACAACTGGATGCTATGGAAATGAGTTTGGCGGAGTTAGTTATCATAGCAAATTATATATGCATCAAATAGAATATATACATATTTATTCTTAATTTTATGTTTCTTGCTGAAATATATTCATAATGATATGGAGTGGTTTCGGTGCGTCAATAGTTGGATTTTAGCGAATGTTAAATGTTAATCCATAAATGTTTTCGGTCGTTATGAGTTGTCAATAAAAACAAAATGGGTTTGGAGACATTTAATATTAGATTGCTTTTGACAGAAGGGAATGCGTAACTGCTGCGACTAATCTGCACTACCAAATCCGATCGCGACCTTATATAGCAATTTATTGCAATTTCGAGTTCAGTTTCTGCTTCAGTTTCAGTTTTAGTTTTAGTTTCTGTTGTTTTTATTTTGTTTATATAGTTTTTTCCGCTTTGTGTCGGTCGCGTTTTGGTGCGTTTTAATTTATCGCTTCTAAATTATGTAAATTATATGACAAATTTAATTTTGGTGAATGTTTTTTTGTTTTTTTTTTTTTTTTTTTCTGCGTGTGTTTCATTACGAACTATGCGTGGCTTTATTTATTTAATTTGGTTTCTTATCTAATTCCGCAATTTGGAGGCTGAAATTGAAAAAACGGCCGTAACTCAGAGTTATGCTTTGGTTTTGCTCTCAGTCAACAAATTGGCTTGAACTTATGTTAGAATACGCAACGCTTAGACTATGCTCATTATATTTAAATATATACATGTATCGTTAAATTATTTAACAACCAGTAGGATTATAACAAATTAACCCCATTTACCGGCTGCTCATAGCGAACGGCATTCCGACTGCCATCGTCTAGGCTCATTTGAATAACAGACGATGCCGACGCATCTTCCTTCCCCCTCTCCATTTGTATTTCTCCATTGGTTTCGTTCGCTTAATCATGTGTGTATTCAACGCCGTATCCGCACCAGCCTTAACGGTATGTACGAAGTTCCGGGTGCCACATCCTTGCCCTCCGGCAGGAAGTTCATCGCATAGTTTTTGGGCGTCGGCGTATTCGGCGGCAGCATGAACTCGAAAATCAGCTGCCTGGTGGTCGGAGCTGATTGCAGCTGGCGATTCGGCTGCATCTGCACATCCACCCGGGCCAGCTGCCACTGCTGTGAGCGCTGCCTGTCAGCCATCTGGAAGCGCTGCAGGTGGCCCTGGATGATGCGACGCAGCGCCGCCATCGTCGTCGCACTTGGCGGATCATAGAAGTATATGCCGCTCTGCGTCGGCCGCTGCGTGGGCGTCTGGCGCGGCAGGTAGGCGGGGCCGGCGGCGCTTGCAATGCCCAGCAGCAATGCTACCAGCTGGAAGACAAATTACATTCCATATATTGGCATATTGTTTGCCAGCTCCACTTACGCAAAGGCACGTCCTATATACGTCCATGTTGCCTGCCATGATTAAATATCACTCGACACCAGCTACTGAGTACACGATACTACCGACTAACTGCTCTCGGCTCTCGGTTCGCGGCAATCGATTGTTGGCTCGCTGCTCGATATTCAATACACACGCTCGCCGACTCGCTTGGCTCAGCAGTTGCTCGACAACTGAATCCGGAGGCAAAGTTTCGGTTTCAAGTTCACGGGCCACCGCAAATGCATTTACATAAATTTCCAACCGGTGCTCGATGCTAACCATCTCCATCTCCATCATCAACTAGATCTCTGCCTCTCTCTCTCTCTCTAGCTCGCTCTCTCGATTGTCGTCTCTATCTTTGTTTGGCTGGCAGCTGTCGCTTTATTTTTAAAAGTTAATTCTTCTGCTAATGCTGCCAACGGGGCACGTGATTTATGCAAATATTTATCTTATGATCATCTTCTTCTTTTTTCGTTGTTGTTGCTCCCTCTCTCTTTATTTTGGGAATACTTAGACTTAAGTATAGAATGATCTGATTTTGAGTTTGCTTCCATTTTATACACATTACCATACTCATTAGATGGACATCAAAAGGGTATCATAAAGCTTAGCCACATACTAAAAATTTGACATTTCTTGAATAGCTGCGGCAATTAAGTTGTTCTGGCCTTATAACACGCGCTGTTCTATATGGACATAGAATGGGTTCTTAAATAGCACACTTGAGATAGTTTTGATTTAGTTTAGTATATCAGTTTTAAATTGAGGTAAAATTGAATTAAATAGCTATTCATATTTCAGTAAATGTCTTAATTATGTAAAAACATCTTCCATTAGAGCGTGTTTTCGAGGCACTCAAATAGTTTAATTTAAATAATGAGTAGATAACGCTTAAATACTCTGCCGTACAGGGTGTCTCGAATTCAAGCAAACGCCTCTCACTTTTCCAAGTATATCAATCGAGCTGGATCGATCAGCGTGCGTAACGAACGAATTCCCAGCCCACGTACATAAAGCAAACTAAATAAACAATGAGTGTGGAGATTGTCGAGATAAACTGCACGTTCTGTCTTAACCCCAACTTATGAACTGAGACACAAACATACATACATACATACATACGTAAATATATATGTACATATATGTCCATGCGTGTGAGCTTTAGACAAGCTTAGACAACGGGGCGACTTGTCCGCTGTTCACGCCATTATAATTATGCAAATAACTCAAGATATATCTGAATATATCATTTCTCTGGCACCGCGCCTTTACAATCTAAATGTACGTATTAATTTAGTATTTTTTTAACTCCGTTTTTTTTTTTCGAAGTATTTAATTAACATAATAATATTCAGTTGGCTTCAATGGACGTGTGTCTAGAGCTTAGTTCTCCTTATATAGGAATACAAAAGACGCTCGATGAACAGAGGTTTGTGACTTTATATTGATTTTTAATCGCTGCCTCTTGATGCTTCTTTGAGCTCGATCTTTGGGTTTATTTATCTGTGTTGCAAAGCCTCAGATTTGTCTGCCTGACAACTTAACCAAAATATATTGTATTGTGTGTGAGTTGCCTTGTTTGGCGATAGCTGTGCTCAAATTACTATTTAAATGACAAATATTATTGAATAATAAATAAATAATATGATATTGATGCTTAAGCATAACCAATTGAATTATTTTTAAATGGCCGATTGCTGAAATCTGATATCGATTAGCGTTCATGATATGATTTCAATTCCATTGTGTATGATGTGATTTAATTGATCAGAGAATCAGCAAGTGAATGGGATGAATGATTAACGAATATATATATACTTCACTCTGCCACGTCTTGGTCTGTCTGCTACACATGTTTTCGCAAATTATACTCTGAATTCACATTGTCAATGGGCTCAGGTTGTCATCGCTGATGTGGACTAGTCAATGACTCAATTAACTGATTATGCAAGACAATAAAACTTTATGTTATTTTGTAATTAAGTCTCAAATTGACTTCTGCCAAGTTGAGCTGTTGCCTTGCCTATATCCATCTCTTTCCCACTCCAACTCATGGCTATACGAAAACACGTTGTTTTCGTCTTGTTTTTAAGTCAAAATGGTTATCTCTAGATGACAGAATTACTGTTTTCAAATAATGAATATGTCTTGAAGATACTTGCATATTTTTTCATTTATTGAAGAGCTAATGTGAAACTATTTTGCTTGATTTATATAGAACTGTAGCACGTTTCACAATCATTCTGAAAAATATATATAAAAAATCTTGGTTAATTAATTTTGATTGCTGTGTTTATCATTCGTGAAATGAGACTCTTTATTATAGGCAGAAGCTAACTAAAGTTAAGCTAGAGAAATAACTTTATACTTTCACTTAGAATATTAACAGCATTATACTAACTACCTGTAGGTAATATATACAAATTTTTAAAGAAGCTGAAATTCTTTAAGCATTGTGTGAGGCATATTTCTTCAACTTCTCAACTTAAATTATAAGAGTATATATATTTTGATATATTTTAAACTTGCTCCAAGTGAATAGCAGACAGCGCTTCGTACATTCACAGCTATCAAACAGCGCAGATTAACTAAACAAGAAAGATATATCGCCTTGGGTAATTAGTAAAGTAATCCACAATTTCTATTCATTTCTATGACTTTTAAATCTGGAAATCTGAAAATAGATAACAAAAAGTCATGTGAAAACTCATTTGTATTTATTGGGCGCAACTCAAACAACATATTTTTCAGTTTGTAAAATTCCCCCAAAGTAAATAACTATTTTCGCATAGTTGCGTGTTGTCAGACTAATTGGATCAATGAACATTTTTTACAGTTTTGCACCTTATGTAAATATGAATTTGTGTGTGTGTGTGAGTGTGTGCCATTCGTTTGGTGTATTCAATTTTCATTTATTCGGTTTCACACATCAAGCAATGCAATTATCTAATGGAATTTGTTGAAAATTTCGCGAAAAAACCCGCTTCATACCCAACGCTCCACGCCCCTCGTTCCACGCCCCAAGCTCGATGCTGTTCGTAGCAATCGGTGATGGCGAATCCCAACTACGTTTGTGTGGGTGAGGCGTATGCCCTTCGTTTTCCCTGTTCAAATCATTATTGTGTGCATAATCGAGAGAAGGTGAAAGAGAGAGAGAGTGTGAGAGAGAGAAAGACGGAAAGGTGTGTGTAAAGAGTAGATGCTGAAAATGAGTTGGAATAAAAAAAAAAAAATGGGTAACCGAAACGGAAACGGAAATGATGCGCTACGTTAGCTTTAGGCGTACTCACTTAATTAAACCGCTGCATTGCCATTGATCTAAGCAGGAGCATTACGTAATTGGAATTTGCTATTCCATCTGCTGGATTGCATTAACATTTCGATTTATATGCAAAATTGCGCAATGGCTCTCGCTCTCTTTCTATCCCTCTCTCTCCCTCTCGCTCTCGCTCTCTATCAAGCGTGCAACGGATTGTGGAATGACGTGTTATGAAACGTTTAAGCTCGCTTAATTACTATGTAAATTATTTGTGCAATTAATTTACACAGCTGGCAAGCAAATCCACGCATCCATCCGCAGCCACTCCCCATATTGATGAGGGTGTCTTCTGCTCAAGCGAACAGCATTAAGTCGGACAAAAAGCTCATATATATTTCATGCGAGGCGCAAAGGAACCATCATAATCATCATAAAGTCGAGACTGTCTGCCCAAAATGTTATTTGAATACCCTCCAAGAGGTTGCCAACGAGGCATTTGTGGGAGAGGAAACTTGACTCGATTATATATTAATGAATTTATCTCTTTGAAGCCCAAGGCTCAAGTAGTTGAATATATTAGGTTTGGTATGTGGCCATCCTCTATTAATGATAATTTTACTGTTTGCCATGAATATCACTTGAACAGAAATTCCTTGAAATTTATCAAAGTTAGTTCTTAAGCAAATCTTAGATAATAATAATGAGAAGCGATTTGAGTCTACTCGAATCGAAAACGAGTTGGATATTTTCTTAATCTATATATATTAAGGAGTATCTTTCAGCTCAGCACATCATTTCGGCAGCTCTGTGTTTCGTGTAGTGCCCCATGTCCAGCTGGTTTTGAAAGGCAATTTCTCAGCCCTTAAAATGGTCCGGCTGACTGTTATGTAATGAGTTTGATGAGCTTTTGAAGTAAACCCAATTGAGGAGAGTCATTTCATTTTGTACGGATTTGATAAAAATGACGAGGCCGTTAAGCAAGCCGTGGCGTATGTGGCAGCAAAAAAGGATATGTAGCTGGATGCGAACGGCAACAAACTTAGTTATGCCTGACAGGCAGCCCGCAGCACGCTCATATTTTATGCATGACCAGCTACAGCTCCATCGCCGCCTCCTGCTGCACTGCTCTCTGGCTCTAGTTTTTGCTTTAGCTCAGCTGAGTTGGGCTCCGGTGGGTGGGCTTGGGTCGGGTTGAATTGCTTTCCGATTGACTAAGCGCAGCGCTCAACCAAGTACTCGTTCACGTGCAGGGCCTGCAGACGACCCTAGGATTGGGCGCGGTCAAGTAGACGTTTGGCAATGCCATTTGCTGGGTGCGCCAACTGGCAGTTATCGGGGCCGATCAAATGGATCAGCGGTTTTTATGTTGCACTGGCACGAAATCCGCACCAGACTAGAGCTCACCTGCCTCTTGGCCCACGGCATTGATGTCTTTGGCGGCCGGCTAAACGAAATGATGGACACCCCAGCGAAATGTGAATAAACTTTGCCGAAAAACCACGAAAGCGTCGATAAACTAATTAAAATGTTTTATCGTCAACAGTGGGCCGAACTCCATTTAGTTGGGACAAGCTCTAAAGTGAGGGAATGCGGAAAAGTATATAAACTTAAGTTAGCTTAAACATATGTACATAAATGCCCGTTGAGAGATGCTGAGATATTAAGCAAATATTGTCATGAATTCGATCAAACTGAAATGAGAACATCTATTGATTTTCAAGCCAGTCTTTGGGGTGTGTAGGCTACAATAAACTCTTATTTGTGCTCAGAGTTACTTTCGCTTTTAGTTCCACTGTGGAGCATCTGAATCGAATCAGGTGACAAAGGCAAGCGATGCGCCTTGCGGCGTAGATTTCGTCTTTGACCGTACGACTTCTGCATAATTAATGATGCCGGGCGACTGTGCTGACTGGCGGAGTCATTCATCAGCAACAGTGGCTGACTTTAATCCACGGCCTGCACAATTTCGGTTTCAATT